CACTGCGCATCCCCCTACTGCGGATCCGTGGTGTTCCTGTTGTGCTTCTTGCAGTGGGCGTACATGACGAGCTCCTCGTTGTCGCAGAGGTAGCAGATGCCCTTGTTCTTGAGATAGGCCTTGGCCGCTGGCGGCAGCTCATTCTCGGCCTTAGGGGACTTCTTGCGCTTGGAGGGTCCCGCCGCCGCCGCATCGTCGCTGTCCATACGATCCGGCCGGCTGCTTTTCTTGCCCTTGACCTCCTGCAGGATCTGGGATTTGCGGGCGTGGCGGAGGGAGCGGTATTGCTTTGAGCGTGAGGTATGCTTGCCGTACTTGGTATTTTTGCCATGCTTGTAGTGGTTGGTTCTGATAGCGGCTACGTGCGCATCCTCATCGCTTTCTTCCTCGCTTTCGCTGTCACTCTCACTGCTCGATGCACTTGCGGAGGGTGCGTGCGGTACTGACGCTACGGCAATGTTTGCTGCTGCGGTCGTGTTTTTCGCGATTTGCATGGCTAGCTCTGCCGCGTATGCAGACTCAATTGCCGACGCTAGGGTTGTGTGTTGCTTTTTGTCTTTGTCCGTGGCCGAGGCGCGTGCTAGGCCTGGCTGCATGTTTTTGAAGAACCAGAAAACCCTTTCTGACTCAGGCATGTCGGCCGCATCCAGGAATATTGTAGTGATTTCCTGGATGTACTGTGCGAGGTTCATGCCCGGGGTTTGCTTGGCTTCGCCTCTGCTAAGGCGTTCGCGTGCTTCTATGGGGTCGTGCTTCAGGGTAATGTCACCGAACGCGCGGCGGAATTCTTCTGCGAATGCCTTGCCGTCTAGGGGTGTGTTCTTTTGAGCGTAGTAGCTCTGCAGGCTATCGTACCACTTAAGCGCGCGCCCTTGCAGGAAGAACTTAAAGTTGGAAACTGAGGCCATCCCCGTTAGGCGCATGTACTCTACGACCATGTTGTACCAAACCTCCCTATCGTCAATGCCCTTGTCGGTCTTTGGGTCACCGCTAAAGGTAGGGGGTTTAGGCAGATGGCGTGCGTACGCTGCCGGATGACTCATCTGTTCCAGCGTGTTGTTCATGTTGTTCAGCTGGCCCTGCATGGCCATGGCCATGCTGTTGGTGCCGCCGGACAGGTGCCCAATGCTGTTGAGGTTGTTAGCCATCGTGCCGAGCTGCCCGTTCAGCTGAACCAACATGTTGTTGGCGGTGGTCACTTGCTGGCTCACGTTGCGAACGTCATGCTGGATGTTGTTCGCGGTGATGTTGCCCATGTTAATGCGCCCCCGCAAGTGCTCCTCGGTGCGGTTGATCGCCTCCAGCACTGGCAGCACCGGCTGTGCTTGCGGTGGCTGCTGCTGGCGAGCGCGCTGCCCTGCGGCGTGCGGTGAGGTGGCCACTTGGGCTCCCATGGCATCGCCGGTCTGAGGGTCAAGGGGTTGTATGGGGGGTCGGGGTACACCATTGTTGTTAGCTGGCAGAGTTGTATTGGTTGTTTGCTCTTGCCGTGCGGTTGGTGCTTGTGTTGCTGGCGGTTCATTTGGCGCATCCGAATGCATGCCTGGAGTGCGCGTCGGCCTAGCCAGTCTGTGCTGCAACTCGTTGATCAAGTTGCGCATACGTGAGGAATAATTGTGTGTTTGTGCCCGTGTGGTGTCTTGGTTGGTTGCTTCGCGGGTTCCGGTTCCATCAGTGGAGCCATCATCGACCGCAGCACCACCAGAGCTCCCATCATTGGGGTTAGTTTGTTCACGAGCATTGTCGCTACTAGTTGATGCGTTTGCATTTTGGTTGTGGCCTAGAGTGTTCTGGATGAATGCGTCCAGTCGCAATAGGGTCCTGAAAGCAGCACGTGGGGAAAGGGAAAGCATATGCTGATGAAAACTTACTTCGTTTGCCTCAGGCTCGCCCAGTGAGGCAGCGCTGAGCATGGGGTCCTCCTCGCGTTCACCATGTGCAGTCACACCGGCAGCGGCAGCAGCAGCGGCAGCGGTTGCGCGCGCAGCGTCCTCGGCGGACATCTATGCTAAGCGCTACCTAAAGAGAGAGGCTAGACCGGAGAGGTCGCTAGTTGGTTCCAGATGGCAATTCACACCACTGTAACGTGGCGTGAACTGACGAAGACGAGAGACGGCGCCACTTAAGGCGCAGTCCGAAAAGATGGTGTTGAAAAACACCGGGGAGCCAGAGGCTATATGCAGTCGGCGTAGACAGTGATGATGGTCTCGGAGCCAGTCGTATCAGATCACGCGGGCCCAGTGTACCAATGTACCTGGCCGCACATGAATAATCATAGCTCAGGAATTACCTTGAGTTACGTTAACTATCCGGTACACACTGATACTCGGAAGTAATGACATGTAATGATCATGACTGATAGCAATTACGGTCCGGGACTTTGATTCCTCTGTTTTGCCTTATCGGAATTTCTTAAGTCCGATTCTTATCGTTACAGGAGCCACATCGCAGGTTGCCTTTGTGACTTGCATATACACATTCAAATACCAAACCTTTTGCACGAAAAAGATGCCAAAAAGCTCACGCGAAAAAATGTTAAATTTGCCGGGGTGTTCACTAAGGCTGTTCCCTTGCTTCCAAGCCGCGGCCTAGCGGAGCGCCTGGAATCAAGGGCAGGCCAAAAAAGCGCAACAGTCTCGTTCCGGGACAGTTGCACACAGATACGCCCAATGTGGGGCTCGAACCCACGACCACAAGGTTAAGAGCCTTGCGCTCTACCGACTGAGCTAACCGGGCTGATGACAAAACTCGATGCGCAAGTAACTAGACCAAAAGGTCAAGTACGGCATGGCGTCGAAATGCTTCAAATTCAAGTTTTTGGGGCGCCTCCGGACGTTTTCCGCTATCGGTGACCTCTTGGTGCTGCCCTACGGCATGTGGGCGTGTCCAAGGCATGAAAGGCCCTTTTTCTGTACCAACACATACAGCTAGCGCCTCCCTACATGCACACACACACACACACACGGACCGACCAACAGTGACATGCCGACAGCCACCCAGCGGCGCCAGACCCTAAGCCTGCTGACTTAGTACAAGGGCCAAAGCCCTCATAAAAGAAAGCAAGCGTGATACCAGCGGATACTGGGGGAAGCCCTTTGCACTTAAAGGTTACCTGCCGCCGCACAAGCCCAACAGTAAGGACCTAAGCGATAACAAGCTGTAGGGCAGGCTAGACTGTGGGAATGGGCTCCAGGGCTGTCCGAAGGAGGCCATTGTGCTGGAACGCCACAAGCCATGGAGGATAGGTTTCGGGTCTGCACGCGCTATGGCACACACGGCCAAAACGTGATTAGTGGCGCTGATGCCTTTAGGATGGAGCACCGTATCCCAAGTCGGAATTCGGTAAGCACACGGGGTGAAGACCCGTTAAATGAATGGTTTTCACTTTTCATGGCTGTTTGACAAGTGTCCAAACTCACTTGCATCCGCTCTACCCTCTTCACATGTTGCAAACCAGGATGACGCCTTATCGTGCGGTCAGTTAGTGCTTTCCTCTGTATTACCCCGCATTACAGGGACTTGGCAGAAGGAATGGGCATTTCGCGTCCGGCATGGTCCCACAGACTTCGGCAGTACAAGTTACGCAGCTAGCCTGTGGTTATCGTCCCACTAGAGCATTTTGCTCATTTTGGGATCCCAAATGTAATCTGACTCCTCGTCATGAAGCGCCTGCACAACAAGGCTAACGCCCAGTCACGACTTAGCTTACGGTACCTAGATGACTGACGAGTGCACCTCTCTTAAGGTAGGGGCAACACGGCTTTGCATGTGTGTGGGGGCCCTGGATGCGCCCCTCAGGTGCACGCATGCTGGCCCAGCAGAGCGGGACCCTGCAGTTCACAAGCCCAGGTCCACCTGTCTATCTAGCCTGCGACCTTTAAGAGGTGTGTCAACCATGAGGGTAAATTATTACCAAAGCCGCGACCTTTGCAGGCAGGCCATCAGCAGCATGCTGTACATCTCTGGGATCCATAAGTCTCATGCAATACTTGTTGAATGCTTGGTGGTGGCCAGCACTTGAGCTCTACCAGAGCGCATGGAGACCCGCCTGAAGTAAACCTATCCTCCATGGCTCTTTAAATCATTCTTGTCATGCTCATACACTGTCGTGGACATCTTCAGTCACAGGAGACCCGACTTGTCCCCTCGGGACCTCCCTAAGCATGGAGCCATTTGCTCGAACCTTTGATCAAGGGCGAGCAACACTACTGCCCAGCGGCATCACACGTCAGGCGGGGATCTGGCTACAAGCAAGGCGCACGGCGGCTGATGAGCCGCAGGCTGACAAGGCTACGTACAGAGAACTGGCTGATCTGGTGACTGAACAATCCGCCACGCTGTGTCACTGTGACACGTTTTGCCACGCGCCCAGTAGCATGCATGCATGGCAAAACTGTCGTGCACATGCAAGACCATCTTCTCTATTCTCATTAAGCACGTGGTGGATCCACGCCTCTCACAATCTGCATCTACAGTATGGCGATGCGACGGGCGGGCAAGCAACGGACAGGGAGCAACAGCAGAAAAGCATGCATGGGAGGCGCACCATCAAGGGTGCGTGGGTGTCGGAGCAGGATACCAGGCAGGTCGACTGGAGGGTACGCAAGGTGCAGCCGGAGCAGGAGCAGCAGGTTCTACATATTGGGAGGCTCAGCTGCATCTCCCGTCGTAGCAACACCAGAGACACGGTTACTAGGCCCGCCCTCACGGCGTCAACCCTAGCCAGGCTTCTGCAGACCTGGTTGTCGATGGCGCTGGCTGTAGTGATGGCGGCTGCCAGTCCTGCACTTGATTGCCAGCCCCGTCATCCCGGCCACGTCCTTTGCTCTCCACCGCAATGTCGTTGCTGCTCCAGCCGCCCCACTTGCCATACCTTCCAACCCAACACGTGGGTTTAAGCCCAGCAGAAGCGCTGCGCACCTCCACGGCGCCTCCCTAAGTGGAAATAGAGGCCAAGAGATAGGAGAGGTTGTGGAAAATTATATTTTTGGCGTAGCTAAAAATCTAGTTTGAGGACCCGTAGGGGCGAGTGCATGAGTTGTCGTACATTGAGCCTTGGTCGTCGGAGGGCGTTCTGAGGGTTGCCTTCCTTGTTGTTTTATCGTTGCGTGGCTTTCTTCCGGGGAACTTCGTTGGTTTTGTGTCCAGTCGCGGCTAGCCTCTTGTAGTCAACGCTAGTCAATTGGGGATAGCCCTCGCTATCTAGAGCTTGGGCTTGCTGCCTTACCGAGGTCTAGTTTCTTTTCTCTTTACCTATGAACGCTTAATTATTGAAGCCGAGGAAGTTGAGCAGGACGCTATAAGTTTGCTCAAGCGTGGCAAGACCAAAGCAACGAAAGAGGCGTATTTTCAGTCGGTTGCCCGCTATAAGAAAGCCACGGCAGAAGTAATTCGAGATATTGAGCGCAGGCAGCCATTTTATCTGGAACTTCGGGCTCGGGAAGACACATGTCGCGCCATCTTCATGCGCAAGTCACAGCTCAGCCAGGCCTTCGCGGCTGGGGCGATCGTTACGACCCAGGAGGGACACGGTGCGCTGGCGCCGGTCCCACAAGGTGAGCCTCCGGCTGGTGGGGCAACGGGGCAGGGACCAGCGGGGTTGGGACAACCGGCAGCAGCAGTTCAGCCGATAACAGCGGCAGCAGCAGCGAGGCAGGTTGCAACCGCAGCAGCAGCAGCAGCAACCACGGTGCCCGTACAAGACGAACATGTGCTGGATATTGAGGAACAGGTGGATACCGAGGGCTTCCCGGCCCTAGCTCAGACACTAGGCCCGTTGGCGCCCCCTCCCGTTAGACAGGCGGCGCCCCAAGGGGTCGAACCAGAGCGCCCGGAAAGGGGAGTGAGGAGGGCGGTGGAAGGTCCGCTGAAGGCGGCGGTGCTGCCGCCAAGCAAGGTCCCCCAGCGCCTGGCGGTCCAGGGCGCCGGCATCTTGGACTCCTGGCTGGACACGTTGGCGACGGGGCCAGGCGCGGGCATGACGGCAACGGGGGCTCAACGGTCGGCGCTGGGACCGTGCGAGAAGACCCTTACCTCCAGCATTGACATGGAGGACACCGCGGCCATGGCGCCATTCATGAGCGAGTTGCTAACGGTAGCGGGTGTGCAGCGGCTGTCTACCAACCAAGACATCTTTAACAGTCATGCCAAGAGCGTCATCAGCGCTAGCGTGTCGCTGGGCGAGGCCGCGCTGCAGGAGGCGGCGAGGGCGCAGACTACGGACGAGCAAGCACGGAGCTTGATGGTTGCCACCGCAGCTTACAAGCGGGCGCAGGAGGCGCAGCAGGTCCAGTCCGAGGTCAGCAAGCTCACGCGCTACACTACCTTTCCCAGGGCCATGCGTTGGCTAAAGGAGGGAGACCCGGATAAGCTCAACCTATTGCGCGGCCTCTCCTCTTTCAGCAAGGAGGACTTGACCGACATCCTGCGCAGTGCGACGGGTCAAGGCACCTCCAGCAACCGAGCAGCGGCTAGGGAGGCGCCCCTCCCGTTTCCGAGCAGCGGGTCCGCAGGCAGCCACGGCGATGCACAATAGCGCTGTTTTGTCTGCGACGCGACGGGCCACAGGTTCCGCCACTGGCCCACGCTGGTAGGCCTCCCGGAGGATGAGAGCGACAGGAAGCTAGCGGCGGCGCGCAGGCGCATGCCGCGGAGGAACTAGGAACTTCATGCGCCCGCCAGGGACATGGCGGGTGCCCAGACGCCGCCGCCGCGGGGGGCGGTGGCGCGGGGAGGCTGCCGGGCGCATTAGGCGGCATGGGCGACACTCATGCAGGTAGGCCACCCCAGGGCGGTGTGGGAGACACCACGAGGGCGGGCCGTACGTTAGACCTCCCCAAGGTGAAATGGGACAACCCTATCCCAGGGCGAAGTGGGATACTTTTGCGCCTCCCCATAGCGATATGGGACAACCCAATCCCAGGGTGAAGTGGGATCCTTTAGTGCCTGCCCAAGGTTAAATGGGAAAACCCAATCCCAGGGCGAAGTGGGATACTTAGGCGCCTCCCCATAGCGATATGGGACAACCCAATCCCAGGGTGAAGTGGGACCTTTAGTGCCTACCCAAGGCTAAATGGGAAATCCCGATCTCAGGGCGAAGTGAGATACGTTTGTGCCTTCCCAAGGCAATATGGGACAACCCAATCCCAGGGCGAAGTGGGATACCTGTGTACCACCCAAGGCGATAACAACCCAATTCCAGGGCGAAGTGGGTATCTTATGGGCCTCCTCTCCTTTCTCCGGCCCATTTCCCTATCGCTCGTGCAGTGAACGGCAGCAGGCTGTTGGGACACGTGGTGGAGACGGATGGCCGGTGGTCAGAGGCGCTGGTAGGGCCCCTGGAGGCTTTGCACGCAGCGGCGCTGGCCCCGAGACAGGGCGCCATGGTGGCGGAACATGGCCAGCCGGTGGCGACATCCCCAGCAGTGCCCGCCACGGCGCAGCCAGGGGAGGCACGGCCTAGATGCCCGACCACACGTCAGGCGAGCGCGGCGGCTCGAGGGCGGTCCCCAATGGCAGATCCAGTCGGCAGGCCATCGGTAGCACATGGGAGCAGCAGCACCGTGGCGCCTGCAGCGCCGCAGGGAGGTGCAGTGGCAGGGGCGAGCAGCGGGACGGTAACTACACCACCACCACGCTTGGTGCAGCTAACGCCTGAGGCCGTAGAGGACTTGGAGTTCTGGTGGGGGGGTCCTTCGGTCGGATTCGTCAGTGTGGGACGGCGTCAAGAAGTGCGCTGTAGCGGACCTCGACTTGGTGAGGGGGGAGTTTGGGGGCCCCAGTGGTGCAGTCATCTTCACCGACGCCAGCGGCTGCGGCTCTGGCGCGGCCTTGGGGCCCCGCGGAGCTGCAGGGGCCGTGGTCAGCGGAGGAGAAGCAGCTACACATTGCTTGGCTGGAGCTGAAGGCGGTGCGCAGGGCGCTGCAGTCGTGGGCGCCCCGGCTCACCGGGCGGCGTGTGCTGATCCGCTGCGACAATACTCAGGCCGTGGCTGCGATCAGGCACGGCTCCACCCGCATGCCGGAGGGCCGAAGCGTCAGCCGGCAGATGGTGGAGCTTGCGATCCGGCAGGGGTTTGAGCTCCATGGGCGGAGCATATCGCGGGCGTCGAGAATGTGCGCGCAGATCGCCTCAGCCGGCAGCTCAGCACCGCATGGCGCACCGCCGCTGCTTAGGGCTGGCAGCCGGCGACTACCCGGGTGGGTGGTACCTTTGCGCCGGCTGCGTGTTGGCGGCGGCAGGCATTGGGGCGGAGGCTGCCGAGGGCTACGTGAGCAGACTCGCCAAACGATGGGTAGTGCAGGCAGGCAGCGCGGTGGCGGCCCGGTCTGCGGCCACCTATGAGGCGGGGCGCCAGCGGTTCCTGAGGTTCTGCGTCGTTGTTCTGCGCCTTGAGCGAGCAGGATGCCTTCCCATGGGGCCAGGACCTCAACCGCTTCCTGGTCTGCCTCTTCATCACCCACTCGTCGCCGTTATTGGCACCGTCCACACTCCTTGGGACCGTGAGCGCTCTGCCGGATTGGCAGCGCGCGCGGGGGCTCCAAGCCGAGGCAGCAATTAGCGCAGACCCACGGGTCAAGCGCACTCTAGCGCAGGCGTTGCGGAGTCGACCGGCAGACGCCTGCGCCTCTGAACGCCGGAAGGCACCGCTACCCATCCGCGTCCTTCAGCTGCTGGTCGGGCTGCTCCGGTCAACACGAACCCGGGTGAAGCGCGGCGCTGGTCCCAAGATGCATGCTGGCTCGTGGTGGGTGTCTTTGGCATGCTCCGCCGAAGCGAGCTGGCGGCTCTGAGCGTGGGCGTCGTGACGTTTCCGGAGGATGGCGGGGTGGAGTTGAGGATTCGGCGCAGCAAGACGGACCAGAGGAGTGCGGGCGCGTCGGTCTACCTGGCGGACACAACGATGAGCGGGGTCCCCATTGCCCGGACCGTCCGGCGGCAGCTAGCCGGGGCGGCAGAGGATGCGGCGGGCGCCGACGGCCCCCTGATCGTCAAGGGAGCCGCCTGGTCTGGGGGGCGGGGCGCTCGGTGGCCGGCGGGGGATTTCACGCGGCGGTTGCGGGAGCTGGTGGCCGAGCTACAGCAGATGCAGCCGGACCTGGATATTGACACTAGCCGGATCGCGGCCCACAGCTACGCGTGGGTGGCGCCACAGCGGCGGCTAATGCAGGAGTGAGCGTAGAGGCCATTAAGGAGCACGGGCGGTGGAAGTCTCGGGCCGTAGATGTGTACATTCGCAAGTCAGTGGCGGTCAGGCGGGCGGTGGTAGAGCAGATGTGATAAGGGATAGGGAAAGGGGGGTTGTCTCTGCGTGGGCCTTGGATAGGAGCCGGCCACGCAGATTGGGTCCGTTGCCGTGCCATCAGTAATGCGTGTTAGCAGGTTAGCTGAGTGCGTGAGAGGGCACGGGTAGCGCGTCAGGGGCCCAGTTGTTTTATTCCCCCCTTCTTCAGTTGACTTCTCCCGGCATGACTGGTTATTTGGTTGGAGAGTTTAGGTGTTACCGTGTAATGGTATAGGGTGGTTATGTCACGAGCCACTACGGCAGGCATCAAAATTATATTTTTGGCGTAGCTAAAAATCTAGTTTGAGGACCCGTAGGGGCGAGTGCATGAGTTGTCGTACATTGAGCCTTGGTCGTCGGAGGGCGTTCTGAGGGTTGCCTTCCTTGTTGTTTTATCGTTGCGTGGCTTTCTTCCGGGGAACTTCGTTGGTTTTGTGTCCAGTCGCGGCTAGCCTCTTGTAGTCAACGCTAGTCAATTGGGGATAGCCCTCGCTATCTAGAGCTTGGGCTTGCTGCCTTACCGAGGTCTAGTTTCTTTTCTCTTTACCTATGAACGCTTAATTATTGAAGCCGAGGAAGTTGAGCAGGACGCTATAAGTTTGCTCAAGCGTGGCAAGACCAAAGCAACGAAAGAGGCGTATTTTCAGTCGGTTGCCCGCTATAAGAAAGCCACGGCAGAAGTAATTCGAGATATTGAGCGCAGGCAGCCATTTTATCTGGAACTTCGGGCTCGGGAAGACACATGTCGCGCCATCTTCATGCGCAAGTCACAGCTCAGCCAGGCCTTCGCGGCTGGGGCGATCGTTACGACCCAGGAGGGACACGGTGCGCTGGCGCCGGTCCCACAAGGTGAGCCTCCGGCTGGTGGGGCAACGGGGCAGGGACCAGCGGGGTTGGGACAACCGGCAGCAGCAGTTCAGCCGATAACAGCGGCAGCAGCAGCGAGGCAGGTTGCAACCGCAGCAGCAGCAGCAGCAACCACGGTGCCCGTACAAGACGAACATGTGCTGGATATTGAGGAACAGGTGGATACCGAGGGCTTCCCGGCCCTAGCTCAGACACTAGGCCCGTTGGCGCCCCCTCCCGTTAGACAGGCGGCGCCCCAAGGGGTCGAACCAGAGCGCCCGGAAAGGGGAGTGAGGAGGGCGGTGGAAGGTCCGCTGAAGGCGGCGGTGCTGCCGCCAAGCAAGGTCCCCCAGCGCCTGGCGGTCCAGGGCGCCGGCATCTTGGACTCCTGGCTGGACACGTTGGCGACGGGGCCGGGCGCGGGCATGACGGCAACGGGGGCTCAACGGTCGGCGCTGGGACCGTGCGAGAAGACCCTTACCTCCAGCATTGACATGGAGGACACCGCGGCCATGGCGCCATTCATGAGCGAGTTGCTAACGGTAGCGGGTGTGCAGCGGCTGTCTACCAACCAAGACATCTTTAACAGTAATGCCAAGAGCGTCATCAGCGCTAGCGTGTCGCTGGGCGAGGCCGCGCTGCAGGAGGCGGCGAGGGCGCAGACTACGGACGAGCAAGCACGGAGCTTGATGGTTGCCACCGCAGCTTACAAGCGGGCGCAGGAGGCGCAGCAGGTCCAGTCCGAGGTCAGCAAGCTCACGCGCTACACTACCTTTCCCAGGGCCATGCGTTGGCTAAAGGAGGGAGACCCGGATAAGCTCAACCTATTGCGCGGCCTCTCCTCTTTCAGCAAGGAGGACTTGACCGACATCCTGCGCAGTGCGACGGGTCAAGGCACCTCCAGCAACCGAGCAGCGGCTAGGGAGGCGCCCCTCCCGTTTCCGAGCAGCGGGTCCGCAGGCAGCCACGGCGATGCACAATAGCGCTGTTTTGTCTGCGACGCGACGGGCCACAGGTTCCGCCACTGGCCCACGCTGGTAGGCCTCCCGGAGGATGAGAGCGACAGGAAGCTAGCGGCGGCGCGCAGGCGCATGCCGCGGAGGAACTAGGAACTTCATGCGCCCGCCAGGGACATGGCGGGTGCCCAGACGCCGCCGCCGCGGGGGGCGGTGGCGCGGGGAGGCTGCCGGGCGCATTAGGCGGCATGGGCGACACTCATGCAGGTAGGCCACCCCAGGGCGGTGTGGGAGACACCACGAGGGCGGGCCGTACGTTAGACCTCCCCAAGGTGAAATGGGACAACCCTATCCCAGGGCGAAGTGGGATACTTTTGCGCCTCCCCATAGCGATATGGGACAACCCAATCCCAGGGTGAAGTGGGATCCTTTAGTGCCTGCCCAAGGTTAAATGGGAAAACCCAATCCCAGGGCGAAGTGGGATACTTAGGCGCCTCCCCATAGCGATATGGGACAACCCAATCCCAGGGTGAAGTGGGACCTTTAGTGCCTACCCAAGGCTAAATGGGAAATCCCGATCTCAGGGCGAAGTGAGATACGTTTGTGCCTTCCCAAGGCAATATGGGACAACCCAATCCCAGGGCGAAGTGGGATACCTGTGTACCACCCAAGGCGATAACAACCCAATTCCAGGGCGAAGTGGGTATCTTATGGGCCTCCTCTCCTTTCTCCGGCCCATTTCCCTATCGCTCGTGCAGTGAACGGCAGCAGGCTGTTGGGACACGTGGTGGAGACGGATGGCCGGTGGTCAGAGGCGCTGGTAGGGCCCCTGGAGGCTTTGCACGCAGCGGCGCTGGCCCCGAGACAGGGCGCCATGGTGGCGGAACATGGCCAGCCGGTGGCGACATCCCCAGCAGTGCCCGCCACGGCGCAGCCAGGGGAGGCACGGCCTAGATGCCCGACCACACGTCAGGCGAGCGCGGCGGCTCGAGGGCGGTCCCCAATGGCAGATCCAGTCGGCAGGCCATCGGTAGCACATGGGAGCAGCAGCACCGTGGCGCCTGCAGCGCCGCAGGGAGGTGCAGTGGCAGGGGCGAGCAGCGGGACGGTAACTACACCACCACCACGCTTGGTGCAGCTAACGCCTGAGGCCGTAGAGGACTTGGAGTTCTGGTGGGGGGGTCCTTCGGTCGGATTCGTCAGTGTGGGACGGCGTCAAGAAGTGCGCTGTAGCGGACCTCGACTTGGTGAGGGGGGAGTTTGGGGGCCCCAGTGGTGCAGTCATCTTCACCGACGCCAGCGGCTGCGGCTCTGGCGCGGCCTTGGGGCCCCGCGGAGCTGCAGGGGCCGTGGTCAGCGGAGGAGAAGCAGCTACACATTGCTTGGCTGGAGCTGAAGGCGGTGCGCAGGGCGCTGCAGTCGTGGGCGCCCCGGCTCACCGGGCGGCGTGTGCTGATCCGCTGCGACAATACTCAGGCCGTGGCTGCGATCAGGCACGGCTCCACCCGCATGCCGGAGGGCCGAAGCGTCAGCCGGCAGATGGTGGAGCTTGCGATCCGGCAGGGGTTTGAGCTCCATGGGCGGAGCATATCGCGGGCGTCGAGAATGTGCGCGCAGATCGCCTCAGCCGGCAGCTCAGCACCGCATGGCGCACCGCCGCTGCTTAGGGCTGGCAGCCGGCGACTACCCGGGTGGGTGGTACCTTTGCGCCGGCTGCGTGTTGGCGGCGGCAGGCATTGGGGCGGAGGCTGCCGAGGGCTACGTGAGCAGACTCGCCAAACGATGGGTAGTGCAGGCAGGCAGCGCGGTGGCGGCCCGGTCTGCGGCCACCTATGAGGCGGGGCGCCAGCGGTTCCTGAGGTTCTGCGTCGTTGTTCTGCGCCTTGAGCGAGCAGGATGCCTTCCCATGGGGCCAGGACCTCAACCGCTTCCTGGTCTGCCTCTTCATCACCCACTCGTCGCCGTTATTGGCACCGTCCACACTCCTTGGGACCGTGAGCGCTCTGCCGGATTGGCAGCGCGCGCGGGGGCTCCAAGCCGAGGCAGCAATTAGCGCAGACCCACGGGTCAAGCGCACTCTAGCGCAGGCGTTGCGGAGTCGACCGGCAGACGCCTGCGCCTCTGAACGCCGGAAGGCACCGCTACCCATCCGCGTCCTTCAGCTGCTGGTCGGGCTGCTCCGGTCAACACGAACCCGGGTGAAGCGCGGCGCTGGTCCCAAGATGCATGCTGGCTCGTGGTGGGTGTCTTTGGCATGCTCCGCCGAAGCGAGCTGGCGGCTCTGAGCGTGGGCGTCGTGACGTTTCCGGAGGATGGCGGGGTGGAGTTGAGGATTCGGCGCAGCAAGACGGACCAGAGGAGTGCGGGCGCGTCGGTCTACCTGGCGGACACAACGATGAGCGGGGTCCCCATTGCCCGGACCGTCCGGCGGCAGCTAGCCGGGGCGGCAGAGGATGCGGCGGGCGCCGACGGCCCCCTGATCGTCAAGGGAGCCGCCTGGTCTGGGGGGCGGGGCGCTCGGTGGCCGGCGGGGGATTTCACGCGGCGGTTGCGGGAGCTGGTGGCCGAGCTACAGCAGATGCAGCCGGACCTGGATATTGACACTAGCCGGATCGCGGCCCACAGCTACGCGTGGGTGGCGCCACAGCGGCGGCTAATGCAGGAGTGAGCGTAGAGGCCATTAAGGAGCACGGGCGGTGGAAGTCTCGGGCCGTAGATGTGTACATTCGCAAGTCAGTGGCGGTCAGGCGGGCGGTGGTAGAGCAGATGTGATAAGGGATAGGGAAAGGGGGGTTGTCTCTGCGTGGGCCTTGGATAGGAGCCGGCCACGCAGATTGGGTCCGTTGCCGTGCCATCAGTAATGCGTGTTAGCAGGTTAGCTGAGTGCGTGAGAGGGCACGGGTAGCGCGTCAGGGGCCCAGTTGTTTTATTCCCCCCTTCTTCAGTTGACTTCTCCCGGCATGACTGGTTATTTGGTTGGAGAGTTTAGGTGTTACCGTGTAATGGTATAGGGTGGTTATGTCACGAGCCACTACGGCAGGCATCAAAATTATATTTTTGGCGTAGCTAAAAATCTAGTTTGAGGACCCGTAGGGGCGAGTGCATGAGTTGTCGTACATTGAGCCTTGGTCGTCGGAGGGCGTTCTGAGGGTTGCCTTCCTTGTTGTTTTATCGTTGCGTGGCTTTCTTCCGGGGAACTTCGTTGGTTTTGTGTCCAGTCGCGGCTAGCCTCTTGTAGTCAACGCTAGTCAATTGGGGATAGCCCTCGCTATCTAGAGCTTGGGCTTGCTGCCTTACCGAGGTCTAGTTTCTTTTCCCACCCACCCGCCCTTCGCATTGTTTTCCTTGTTGGGTCTAGTGGCCGGGGGTTGTCTCTGCGTGGGCCTTGGATAGGAGCCGGCCACGCAGATTGGGTCCGTTGCCGTGCCATCAGTAATGCGTGTTAGCAGGTTAGCTGAGTGCGTGAGAGGGCACGGGTAGCGCGTCAGGGGCCCAGTTGTTTTATTCCCCCCTTCTTCAGTTGACTTCTCCCGGCATGACTGGTTATTTGGTTGGAGAGTTTAGGTGTTACCGTGTAATGGTATAGGGTGGTTATGTCACGAGCCACTACGGCAGGCATCAAAATTATATTTTTGGCGTAGCTAAAAATCTAGTTTGAGGACCCGTAGGGGCGAGTGCATGAGTTGTCGTACATTGAGCCTTGGTCGTCGGAGGGCGTTCTGAGGGTTGCCTTCCTTGTTGTTTTATCGTTGCGTGGCTTTCTTCCGGGGAACTTCGTTGGTTTTGTGTCCAGTCGCGGCTAGCCTCTTGTAGTCAACGCTAGTCAATTGGGGATAGCCCTCGCTATCTAGAGCTTGGGCTTGCTGCCTTACCGAGGTCTAGTTTCTTTTCTCTTTACCTATGAACGCTTAATTATTGAAGCCGAGGAAGTTGAGCAGGACGCTATAAGTTTGCTCAAGCGTGGCAAGACCAAAGCAACGAAAGAGGCGTATTTTCAGTCGGTTGCCCGCTATAAGAAAGCCACGGCAGAAGTAATTCGAGATATTGAGCGCAGGCAGCCATTTTATCTGGAACTTCGGGCTCGGGAAGACACATGTCGCGCCATCTTCATGCGCAAGTCACAGCTCAGCCAGGCCTTCGCGGCTGGGGCGATCGTTACGACCCAGGAGGGACACGGTGCGCTGGCGCCGGTCCCACAAGGTGAGCCTCCGGCTGGTGGGGCAACGGGGCAGGGACCAGCGGGGTTGGGACAACCGGCAGCAGCAGTTCAGCCGATAACAGCGGCAGCAGCAGCGAGGCAGGTTGCAACCGCAGCAGCAGCAGCAGCAACCACGGTGCCCGTACAAGACGAACATGTGCTGGATATTGAGGAACAGGTGGATACCGAGGGCTTCCCGGCCCTAGCTCAGACACTAGGCCCGTTGGCGCCCCCTCCCGTTAGACAGGCGGCGCCCCAAGGGGTCGAACCAGAGCGCCCGGAAAGGGGAGTGAGGAGGGCGGTGGAAGGTCCGCTGAAGGCGGCGGTGCTGCCGCCAAGCAAGGTCCCCCAGCGCCTGGCGGTCCAGGGCGCCGGCATCTTGGACTCCTGGCTGGACACGTTGGCGACGGGGCCGGGCGCGGGCATGACGGCAACGGGGGCTCAACGGTCGGCGCTGGGACCGTGCGAGAAGACCCTTACCTCCAGCATTGACATGGAGGACACCGCGGCCATGGCGCCATTCATGAGCGAGTTGCTAACGGTAGCGGGTGTGCAGCGGCTGTCTACCAACCAAGACATCTTTAACAGTCATGCCAAGAGCGTCATCAGCGCTAGCGTGTCGCTGGGCGAGGCCGCGCTGCAGGAGGCGGCGAGGGCGCAGACTACGGACGAGCAAGCACGGAGCTTGATGGTTGCCACCGCAGCTTACAAGCGGGCGCAGGAGGCGCAGCAGGTCCAGTCCGAGGTCAGCAAGCTCACGCGCTACACTACCTTTCCCAGGGCCATGCGTTGGCTAAAGGAGGGAGACCCGGATAAGCTCAACCTATTGCGCGGCCTCTCCTCTTTCAGCAAGGAGGACTTGACCGACATCCTGCGCAGTGCGACGGGTCAAGGCACCTCCAGCAACCGAGCAGCGGCTAGGGAGGCGCCCCTCCCGTTTCCGAGCAGCGGGTCCGCAGGCAGCCACGGCGATGCACAATAGCGCTGTTTTGTCTGCGACGCGACGGGCCACAGGTTCCGCCACTGGCCCACGCTGGTAGGCCTCCCGGAGGATGAGAGCGACAGGAAGCTAGCGGCGGCGCGCAGGCGCATGCCGCGGAGGAACTAGGAACTTCATGCGCCCGCCAGGGACATGGCGGGTGCCCAGACGCCGCCGCCGCGGGGGGCGGTGGCGCGGGGAGGCTGCCGGGCGCATTAGGCGGCATGGGCGACACTCATGCAGGTAGGCCACCCCAGGGCGGTGTGGGAGACACCACGAGGGCGGGCCGTACGTTAGACCTCCCCAAGGTGAAATGGGACAACCCTATCCCAGGGCGAAGTGGGATACTTTTGCGCCTCCCCATAGCGATATGGGACAACCCAATCCCAGGGTGAAGTGGGATCCTTTAGTGCCTGCCCAAGGTTAAATGGGAAAACCCAATCCCAGGGCGAAGTGGGATACTTAGGCGCCTCCCCATAGCGATATGGGACAACCCAATCCCAGGGTGAAGTGGGACCTTTAGTGCCTACCCAAGGCTAAATGGGAAATCCCGATCTCAGGGCGAAGTGAGATACGTTTGTGCCTTCCCAAGGCGATATGGGACAACCCAATCCCAGGGCGAAGTGGGATACCTGTGTACCACCCAAGGCGATAACAACCCAATTCCAGGGCGAAGTGGGTATCTTATGGGCCTCCTCTCCTTTCTCCGGCCCATTTCCCTATCGCTCGTGCAGTGAACGGCAGCAGGCTGTTGGGACACGTGGTGGAGACGGATGGCCGGTGGTCAGAGGCGCTGGTAGGGCCCCTGGAGGCTTTGCACGCAGCGGCGCTGGCCCCGAGACAGGGCGCCATGGTGGCGGAACATGGCCAGCCGGTGGCGACATCCCCAGCAGTGCCCGCCACGGCGCAGCCAGGGGAGGCACGGCCTAGATGCCCGACCACACGTCAGGCGAGCGCGGCGGCTCGAGGGCGGTCCCCAATGGCAGATCCAGTCGGCAGGCCATCGGTAGCACATGGGAGCAGCAGCACCGTGGCGCCTGCAGCGCCGCAGGGAGGTGCAGTGGCAGGGGCGAGCAGCGGGACGGTAACTACACCACCACCACTCTTGGTGCAGCTAACGCCTGAGGCCGTAGAGGACTTGGAGTTCTGGTGGGGGGGTCCTTCGGTCGGATTCGTCAGTGTGGGACGGCGTCAAGAAGTGCGCTGTAGCGGACCTCGACTTGGTGAGGGGGGAGTTTGGGGGCCCCAGTGGTGCAGTCATCTTCACCGACGCCAGCGGCTGCGGCTCTGGCGCGGCCTTGGGGCCCCGCGGAGCTGCAGGGGCCGTGGTCAGCGGAGGAGAAGCAGCTACACATTGCTTGGCTGGAGCTGAAGGCGGTGCGCAGGGCGCTGCAGTCGTGGGCGCCCCGGCTCACCGGGCGGCGTGTGCTGATCCGCTGCGACAATACTCAGGCCGTGGCTGCGATCAGGCACGGCTCCACCCGCATGCCGGAGGGCCGAAGCGTCAGCCGGCAGATGGTGGAGCTTGCGATCCGGCAGGGGTTTGAGCTCCATGGGCGGAGCATATCGCGGGCGTCGAGAATGTGCGCGCAGATCGCCTCAGCCGGCAGCTCAGCACCGCATGGCGCACCGCCGCTGCTTAGGGCTGGCAGCCGGCGACTACCCGGGTGGGTGGTACCTTTGCGCCGGCTGCGTGTTGGCGGCGGCAGGCATTGGGGCGGAGGCTGCCGAGGGCTACGTGAGCAGACTCGCCAAACGATGGGTAGTGCAGGCAGGCAGCGCGGTGGCGGCCCGGTCTGCGGCCACCTATGAGGCGGGGCGCCAGCGGTTCCTGAGGTTCTGCGTCGTTGTTCTGCGCCTTGAGCGAGCAGGATGCCTTCCCATGGGGCCAGGACCTCAACCGCTTCCTGGTCTGCCTCTTCATCACCCACTCGTCGCCGTTATTGGCACCGTCCACACTCCTTGGGACCGTGAGCGCTCTGCCGGATTGGCAGCGCGCGCGGGGGCTCCAAGCCGAGGCAGCAATTAGCGCAGACCCACGGGTCAAGCGCACTCTAGCGCAGGCGTTGCGGAGTCGACCGGCAGACGCCTGCGCCTCTGAACGCCGGAAGGCACCGCTACCCATCCGCGTCCTTCAGCTGCTGGTCGGGCTGCTCCGGTCAACACGAACCCGGGTGAAGCGCGGCGCTGGTCCCAAGATGCATGCTGGCTCGTGGTGGGTGTCTTTGGCATGCTCCGCCGAAGCGAGCTGGCGGCTCTGAGCGTGGGCGTCGTGACGTTTCCGGAGGATGGCGGGGTGGAGTTGAGGATTCGGCGCAGCAAGACGGACCAGAGGAGTGCGGGCGCGTCGGTCTACCTGGCGGACACAACGATGAGCGGGGTCCCCATTGCCCGGACCGTCCGGCGGCAGCTAGCCGGGGCGGCAGAGGATGCGGCGGGCGCCGACGGCCCCCTGATCGTCAAGGGAGCCGCCTGGTCTGGGGGGCGGGGCGCTCGGTGGCCGGCGGGGGATTTCACGCGGCGGTTGCGGGAGCTGGTGGCCGAGCTACAGCAGATGCAGCCGGACCTGGATATTGACACTAGCCGGATCGCGGCCCACAGCTACGCGTGGGTGGCGCCACAGCGGCGGCTAATGCAGGAGTGAGCGTAGAGGCCATTAAGGAGCACGGGCGGTGGAAGTCTCGGGCCGTAGATGTGTACATTCGCAAGTCAGTGGCGGTCAGGCGGGCGGTGGTAGAGCAGATGTGATAAGGGATAGGGAAAGGGGGGTTGTCTCTGCGTGGGCCTTGGATAGGAGCCGGCCACGCAGATTGGGTCCGTTGCCGTGCCATCAGTAATGCGTGTTAGCAGGTTAGCTGAGTGCGTGAGAGGGCACGGGTAGCGCGTCAGGGGCCCAGTTGTTTTATTCCCCCCTTCTTCAGTTGACTTCTCCCGGCATGACTGGTTATTTGGTTGGAGAGTTTAGGTGTTACCGTGTAATGGTATAGGGTGGTTATGTCACGAGCCACTACGGCAGGCATCAAAATTATATTTTTGGCGTAGCTAAAAATCTAGTTTGAGGACCCGTAGGGGCGAGTGCATGAGTTGTCGTACATTGAGCCTTGGTCGTCGGAGGGCGTTCTGAGGGTTGCCTTCCTTGTTGTTTTATCGTTGCGTGGCTTTCTTCCGGGGAACTTCGTTGGTTTTGTGTCCAGTCGCGGCTAGCCTCTTGTAGTCAACGCTAGTCAATTGGGGATAGCCCTCGCTATCTAGAGCTTGGGCTTGCTGCCTTACCGAGGTCTAGTTTCTTTTCCCACCCACCCGCCCTTCGCATTGTTTTCCTTGTTGGGTCTAGTGGCCGGGGGTTGTCTCTGCGTGGGCCTTGGATAGGAGCCGGCCACGCAGATTGGGTCCGTTGCCGTGCCATCAGTAATGCGTGTTAGCAGGTTAGCTGAGTGCGTGAGAGGGCACGGGTAGCGCGTCAGGGGCCCAGTTGTTTTATTCCCCCCTTCTTCAGTTGACTTCTCCCGGCATGACTGGTTATTTGGTTGGAGAGTTTAGGTGTTACCGTGTAATGGTATAGGGTGGTTATGTCACGAGCCACTACGGCAGGCATCAAAATTATATTTTTGGCGTAGCTAAAAATCTAGTTTGAGGACCCGTAGGGGCGAGTGCATGAGTTGTCGTACATTGAGCCTTGGTCGTCGGAGGGCGTTCTGAGGGTTGCCTTCCTTGTTGTTTTATCGTTGCGTGGCTTTCTTCCGGGGAACTTCGTTGGTTTTGTGTCCAGTCGCGGCTAGCCTCTTGTAGTCAACGCTAGTCAATTGGGGATAGCCCTCGCTATCTAGAGCTTGGGCTTGCTGCCTTACCGAGGTCTAGTTGGAAAAGGCAAAAGGTCCTGCTGAGATTTGAACTCAGGTTAGCAGATTCAGAGTCTGCTGTCCTAACCACTAGACCACAGGACCAACTGGCTGTGGCAGGATTTGAACCTGCGCCCTTTCGGACAGGAGATCTCGTACGACCTTAATCCTGCGCCTTAGACCACTCGGCCACACAACCTTGTCAACCAAAAGCGCAACAGTCTCGTTCCGGGGACTGTTGCACACAGATACGCCCAATGTGGGGCTCGAACCCACGACCACAAGGTTAAGAGCCTTGCGCTCTACCGATAGCGCCGCGTCGTGGTCGCCGCGGCCGGGGGTACCGTAAATCCTGATTGGTGATGAATTCGCGAACGAACAAGCTTTGCGCGCCGGCATGACTTCAGCATTGCGGACCTAATGTTGGCGCGCCGACCAGTGTTGTGAGGTTGTTCATGTTGCAGACAAGCATGGTCGGCGGACCTGATGTCAGCGTGCGGCTCATGTTCGAAAGCAATAATCGGCATGGCGTACGTGTACGGCATGGCGTCGAACAGCTTCAAATTCAAATTTTGAGGCGCCTCCGGATGTTTTCCGCTATCGGTGACCTCTTGGGGCTGCCCCACGGCATGTGGGCGTGTCCAAGGCATGAAAAGCCCTTGTTCTGTACCAACATATACAGGTAGAGCCTCGCTACCTACGCACTACATGCACACACACACACACAAACACATCTGCGCATGAGGGCGACGTCTCATGACCCGTGGGTCAGTGATCACCAAAAAAGCTATCATTTTCGGCGATCAGCAATCAGCGCTTTTCAGGAGATGCGCCGACTTCACGACCGTGCTTCTCGCCGAGACCAGCTTGCAAATCGCGCCGAAAGATTTTTGCCAATGCCAGGCCAATTGTGCCGAAATCTAAAGAGCTTTCACGGCGATCTCCCCTGACAGCATTCGCCGATCAGCAATCGCCGATCAACTACAGTTTTCGGCGATCAGTAATCGACGCTTTTCAGGAGATGCGCCGACTTCACGACGGTGTTCAAAGGAGCCAGAGCGACGAGGGGGTGGTGAGGGGGGTGGGGAGCATGGAGGGGGGTGGTCACGGTCACCAAACAGTTTGACGCTGATTTTGGAAAGTAACCAAGAAACTGCGAATGGCTAATTAATTCAGTTATAGCTTAGTCGACATCACAATGCAGGATATTGCAACAAGAAGATTGGTGGTACGCGGTGCCCGAAGCCATGCCGTACCGTGTCGCTGTACGACAGGGGTGATCAAAGGAGCCAGAGCGACGAGGGGGCGGTGAGGGGAGTGGGGAGCATGGAGGGGGGTGGCCACGGTCACCAAACAGTTTGACGTTGATTTTGGAAAGTAACCAAGAAACTGCGAATGGCTCATTAATTCAGTTATAGCTTAGTCGAGATCACAATGCAAGACATCGCAACAAGAAGATTGGTGGTACGCGGTGCCCGAAGCCATGCTGTACCGTGTCGCTGTACGACAGGGGTGGTCAGAGGAGCTAGAGCAATGAAGAGGTGGTGAAGGGAATAGGGAGTTTGGAGAGGGGTGGTCACGGTCACCAAACAGTTTGACGCTGATTTTGGAAAGTTACCAAGAAACTGCGAATGGCTCATTAACTTAGTTATAGCTTAGTCGACATCACAATGCAAGATATTGCAACAAGAAGATTGGTGGTACGCGGTGCCCGAAGCCATGCCGTACCGTGTCGCTGTACGACAGGGGTGGTCAGAGGAGCCAGAGCGACGAGGGGGTGGTGAGGGGAGTGGGGAGCATGGAGGGGGGTGGTCACGGTCACCAAACAGTTTGACGCTGATTTTGGAAAGTAACCAAGAAACTGCGAATGGCTCATTAACTCTGTTATAGCATAGTCGAGATCACAATGCAAGACATCGCAACAATGAGACGGGCGGCACACGGTGCCCCAACCCATGCCGTACCATGTCGCTGTACGACAGGGGTGGTCAGAGGAGCTAGAGCAATGAAGAGGTGGTGAGGGGAATAGGGAGTTTGGAGAGGGGTGGTCACGGTCACCAAACAGTTTGACGCTGATTTTGGAAAGTAACCAAGAAACTGCGAATGGCTCATTAACTCAGTTATAGCTTAGTCGAGATCACAATGCAAGATATTGCAACAAGAAGATTGGTGGTACGCGGTGCCCGAAGCCATGCTGTACCGTGTGGCTGTACGACAGGGGTGATCAAAGGAGCCAGAGCGACGAGGGGTGGTGAGGGGAGTGGGGAGCATGGAGGGGGGTGGTCACGGTCACCAAACAGTTTGACGCTGATTTTGGAAAGTAACCAAGAAACTGCGAATGGCGCCATTAACTCAGTTATAGCATAGTCGAGATCACAATGCAAGACATCGCAACAAGGAGACGGGCGGCACACGGTGCCCCAACCCATGCCGTACCATGTCGCTGTACTACAGGGGTGGTCAGAGGAGCTAGAGCAATGAAGAGGTGGTGAAGGGAATAGGGAGTTTGGAGAGGGGTGGTCACGGTCACCAAACAGTTTGACGCTGATTTTGGAAAGTTACCAAGAAACTGCGAATGGCTCATTAACTTATTTATAGCTGAGTCGACATCACAATGCAAGATATTGCAATAAGAAGATTGGTGGTACTCGGTGCCCGAAGCCATGCCGTACCGTGTCGCTGTACGACAGGGGTGGTCAGAGGAGCCAGAGCGACGAGGGGGTGGTGAGGGGAGTGGGGAGCATGGAGGGGGGCGGTCACGGTCACCAAACAGTTTGACGCTGATTTTGGAAAGTAACCAAGAAACTGCGAATGGCTCATTAATTCAGTTATAGCTTAGTCGAGATCACAATGCAAGATATTGCAACAAAAAGATTGGTGATACGCGGTGCCTGAAGCCATGCCGTACAAAGTCGCTGTACGACAGGGGTGGTCAGAGGAGCTTGAGCGGCGAGGGGGTGGTGGGGGGAGTGGGGAGCATGAAGGGGGGCGGGCGGGGGCGTGTCGAAACCCATGCCATACTGCGTTGCCGTACACCTCATGGTGATGCAGGAGCGTTCAGAGGTGCTGGAGGGACGAGGGGGTGGTGAGGGGAGTGGGGAGCATGGAGGGGGGTGGGAGAGCGTGTCGAAACCCATGCCGTACTGCGTTGCCGTACACCTCACGGTGATGCAGGGGCGTTCAGAGGTGCTGGAGGGGCGAGGGGGTGGTGAGGGGAGTGGGGAGCATGGAGGGGGGTGGGAGGGCGTGTCGAAACCCATGCCGTACTGCGTTGCCGTACACCTCACGGTGATGCAGGGGCGTTCAGGGGTGCTGGAGGGGCGAGGGGGTGGTGAGGGGAGTGGGGAGCATGGAGGGGGGTGGGAGGGCGTGTCGAAACCCATGCCGTACTGCGTTGCCGTACACCTCACGGTGATGCAGGGGCGTTCAGGGGTGCTGGAGGGGCGAGGGGGTGGTGAGGGGAGTGGGGAGCATGGAGGGGGGCGGGAGGGCGTGTCGAAACCCGTGCCGTACTGCGTTGCCGTACACCTCACGGTGATGCAGGGGCGTTCAGGGGTGCTAGAGGGGCGAGGGGGTGGTGAGGGGAGTGGGGAGCATGGAGGGGGGTGGGAGGGCATGTCGAAACCCGTGCCGTACTGCGTTGCCGTACTACAGTGTGTTGTCGTACTCGAGATCTCCCAAAACACCATCCCCATAGGCCCTGGCATCATCTCCAAGGGTGCCGAGGAAGTCGCAAAGAGGTCGCTACCCGGCTCGAACTGGAGACCTCTGGCTGGCTGAGGATAGGACTGAACGCTTAGCGCCGGAAGGTCGTTGCCACCACTTTTGTGAACGGACGGACAGACAGACAGATAGCGCCGCGTCGTGGTCGCCGCGGCCGGGGGTACCGTAAATCCTGATTGGTGATGCGCGCCGGCATGATTTTGGCAATTTTGGCACATTGCGGACCAGTGCTGCGAGCTTGCTCCTCTTGCCGACGAGCATGGTGGGCGGACCTAACGTTGGCGCGCTGACCAGTGTTGTGTACTGGGTGTACTGGTAGATCTCGAGTACGACAACACACTGTACGGCAGCAAACTGTACGGCACAGTTGCCATGCTGTGTGGTGACACATCATGTGGTGTACGACATGTACGACTATGTACGACAGCGGTACGACAGTGTACGACAACTGTCGTATGGTTGTACGGCATCTGTACGGCATGGGTTTCGACACGCCCTCCCAGCCCCCTCCTTGCTCCCCACTCCCCTCACCTCCCCCTCGTCCCTCCAGCACCTCTGACGCACAGTGCGCACAGTCGGACCAGTGCTGCGAGCTTGCTCCTCTTGCCGACGAGCATGGTGGGCGGACCTAACGTTGGCGTGCTGACCAGTGTTGTGAGGTTGCTCATGTCGCAGACAAGCATGGTCGGCGGACCTGATGTCAGCGTGCGACTCATGTTCGAAAACATTAGTCGTAAGCCATTTGTCCTAAGGCATAGGTCGCCTCTCGCCGACGATCAGGGTCGGTGGACCTGACCATCTGTGCAGTGACCAATGTTGCGAGCTTGCTACACTTGTTGACAGGCGGGGTCGGCGGACCCAACTAACATTGGCGTGCCCGTTTTGTTTGTAAGCATTGGTTGTAAGGCATGTGTCGTGAGGCATAGGTCGCCTCTCGCTGACGGGCAGGATTACTTTCTTACGTAAAGTAACCAAGAAACTGCGAATGGCTCATTAACTCGAGGAAGTCGGTGGGATGTGACTCCACTTCGTTACGGGGGATGAAACCTAAGAAGACAGCATTGCAAATTGCGCCGAAAGGCTTTTGCCGATGCCGTGTCCGTCGCCAAAACCTAAGAAGCTTTCACGGCGACCACCCCTGACAGCATTTGCCGATCAGTAATCGCCGATGAACCATTGTTTTCGGCGATCAGTAATCGGCGCTTTTCAGGAGACGCGCCGACTTCACGACTGTGCTTCTCGCCGAAACCAGCTTGCAACTTGCACCGAAAGACTTTTGTCGATGCCGTGTCC